CCCTGTTGGAGCCCTCCCATGCATCCACACCCTATTCAAACTACCTTTGAAGATTCCTTCCCTATGTCCCTGGCTGGAATTAATATCTTAGTCCTACTTGTCTACTCTGTAATATAGTCGGTTCTTAATGCTTTCTTCATCCAATAGTCCAAACTCTTGAAGAATAAGCACTTATTCATTTTTTTATCCCCCACATTACTCAGAAGGTAATAAATGTCTGTGGGACAGAATAATTTCAATGAGCAGCAGGTGTGCCCTTTCGTGCCATTAATATTCAGAAGGCTGTCCCATAATTTCCATCCCTGGTAAAAGTGGTGGGAACCACTTACCTGCAGTGCCGTTACAGCACATATGATTTACTTAAATAAGCATCATGCCACAGAAGAGTAGTCAACAATTATTATTATGCCACTGTTGGAACACTTTGATAAAGTTATCCAGCAATAAAAAGGAACACAATTAATAATTTATAGAACTGGGAACTTGGATATTTAAAAACGTGTTTATTTCAATTAAATTACCTTAAAGATCAAATAAAGTTTTATCGTGTTGAATATTTGATAAGGAACCAATCAGGGAAGTCTGATGACTCAGGCTTGGCCTCTGGGGACTGGCTGGGGTTGTTACGAATTGTGGAATTTCCTCTGACACAGTGAAAACACGAGGGTGCACTTGTTCTCTGGGGTTGCGATAATATAAAAAGCAACCGGAGCTCTCCTTTCCTCAGACGTCCTCAGAGACGGCAGAGCATACTAGCTTCTAGGACAGAAGCCAACAAGAAACCACCGGAAGGAACCATCTCCTCTGTGCAGACATGACTTCCAGACTGGCCGTGGCTGTCCTGGCAGCCTTCCTGCTGTCTGCAGCGCTGTGTGATGGTAAGCTCATCTCTCACCTGCAGAGTCTCACTTTTCCTCGAGTCTGAATGTGCTCCTCAGACGGGGAGGCTGTCTTTAGTGCTGTGATAACAAACATCCTTTTTATTCAGAACAAAAAATAATCTTTGCCATCAATTAATGTGAAGTTGCAGGGCTTCTTCTAGGCTGTGTATAACACTCAGGAGATTATAAGGGTCATACTAGGTAGTATGCATATATTTAATATAATTAGTAATCTAAAATGTAGCCTATTGAGGGCTACAGTTACCCGTATTATCTATTAATACCGAGCAAGGTAACTCAGATAATTCTCACCTCAGAGACTCTCAATTCCTGTTTGGTTTAAAGATACCCTCATCATAGACCATTTCAAGTCTGTGCATTTATACATATATTTCTGTTCATTCTTTCTGAAGCCAACTTTTACATTTGAGAATCTTAGTTTCCTACTTAGTTTTCCCAGCAGCAAGATTCACAGAGGATCATCTATGTCAAGTGGAAGAAAAAATTACCCTGAGGATGTCAGCATGCCACCCAGACAACTCCAACTCCTTGTGGAGAATGTCATTCAGTATTGCCAGTAGTAACCGTTTTTAAAGCAAAGAACAAAACGGAGGTCCTGGGCTAGGAGAATACCCGTCCCTCAAGGCCAGGAATGGGCTGGCTAGAAATGTGGTGCTTCCCACGGTCCCCAGTAGCCACACTGACCTTGAAGAGGGTGTGCCTAGCTGGCTGTGCCTGTGGATGAAATCGTTCCTTAATTACTTCTGTTTTTCCCCACAGCTGCGGTTCTCACAAGGGTTGGCGGTGAACTCCGATGCCAGTGCATAAAGACGCACTCTGCATCCTTCCACCCCAAATATATCCAAGAGCTGAGAGTGATTGAGAGCGGGCCGCACTGTGAGAAGTCAGAGATCATGTAAGTACTTCCAAGACGGGCTGGCCCTTCTTCTCTACTCCCGACCTGAGGAAGGGGGAAGTATTCAGGAAAGCCCTAGACACGAGAAAGGCAGCAGTGAGCAAAGTCAGACAAAATCCTCGTCCCCACGTGGGGACATTTAAACGTGGTGCCTCCCACGCCAAGAAGCTGAAGGCTGCTTTGGCCTTAGATTTTCTGCCTGCACAAGGACCAAGATTTAA